GGGGATTGCCCCCCTGCCTGGCAGTACCTGGTGAGTCGGGGCTTTTGTTTTCCCAAGTGCCGGGAGCTGGGGCAGACAGGGCAGCCACTACCGGGCTGGGAGAGCAGGCAGGGGATGGGCCTGGCTGATTCAGAGATTTGGCAGCAGCCCAATCAGATCCAGCCAAACCAAATCAGGACCGATTCAAATCACCAAATCAACTCACTGTCCCCCGAACTGGCCGAATGCAAAGCGAATGCTAGCCGCTTCACACAGGCCTAATCAGTAATAGAAGTTTACTAATTACACTTGTATATTGCTGGAATAGCTTATTACAAGCCTAGCCTCCATTTCCCTTGTCCCCATAGGTATTTGGACATGACAAAGGCTTCAGTGGAAAGTATCGCTATGGAGACTGCATGAATCAGTAGCATCTTATCAGCTAGCTAAGACTCCTCACTACAACTCATTGCACTGAACCTCCTTGTATAGTAGATCACCGGCCAGTTCGATGTGGCGTTATTCCTATCTGCCGCAGGGATGGCCTTCTGTCCCACCCTCTCATCAGTGCTCATGTCAGCATCTGTGGTTGACTGGTAGGGCCATGCCTGACCGTCTCTAGGAGGAAACTGTGGGCTTTTGGAATTCCATGAGCTTTTGGACAGAAATGATACTACTTTTAATTGTGCACACAGTGCCTAGATCAGTGAGTCCCAAAGCAAAAGCCACAGCACACTAGTGTACCATAAGTGCAACAGAAGTGTGCCACGAGATCTTTCTGTGCGAGGAGTGAAACACTCTCCTCCCCCAGCAAGTACCCTCTGCCTGCCCCAGCTACTCCAGTGGTGTCTGCCGCTGCACCTCTGGGGACTGCTGCCATTGCTGCTGCCTCCTCCTACCCTTCCCTGCTCCCAGGCAACCCCACTTTACACAGCCCAGATCATCCCCTCCACTCCTCACATGCTCACCGGTGTGAGAGCCTCTGCAGGAGCAGCCTCAACAGCGGGGACTGCTCTTGCCCTCCAAGGTAAACACCTCATGGCTGGGAGGGTAAAAACAGGGCACAGCAGGGTGAGGGCCTGCCCCCACCACCTTTAAGGGACACCAGCTAGATCACCGATTCTTAACTTTTCTAGCCTGAAGGCCCCCTCCCAATATGTCTTCTGAGTTTACATCTGTCTCGGCGATTTTCAACTTGGGGTGTCATGGAATTTAGAAATGTTATGGAGGGGGTACTTGAGGCTAAAAAGGTTGAGAACCATTGGCCTAGATAGTAGAGGGATGTGCACCAAAGATGCACGAACCACAGATCGAGTCGCCTTTCACTCTTGCTAGCAGAAGTGAGGAGTGTATCCAGGTCACGACCTACTGAACTGATTTTAATAAATCCTCCTAGGTTGAAGCCGTAATATAGTTCTCAAATAATTTTGCTTTTAAAAAGAAAGATATTTAAGTACAAAAATCGATTTTTAACAAAAGTCATCCATTGTTAAACCACCCACGTGGAGTTTTGCTAGTAAGATACCAGAATCAGCCCTTCATGTTTCATCTCCACAAAATTAGTTTGGATGGTTGACTGGAAGAGACACCAATATGCGAGGGATCAAAAGAGAGACAATATATGCAAGTTATTATATCCATGTCTGGGTTATGCACCTTTTTCTGGTTGTGTTATGGGCTTAAATGACTTAGATTTAAAAATGCAGCACCTAATCAGAAAAGCAAACTCATGAAATCCACACGAGTTTTACAGTAAATGTCTCACTGTTTTCGGTTAGGGTTCCTTACCTCTGTACTTCCTTATTCTTCCATAAAGAGGCAGACTGAGCCTTCGGCACACGTTCAATGGAGTTCACCAGCTCTTCCATAAGAAGTCTGTAAAGGATCTCTTATTAGCATTAAATAAATATTCTACCAAATTATGCGCAAGGCAATTTTGTTATGAAGAGAGTTACTTCCTAGAGACAACATACAAATATACTGAGGGTCCATTTGTAGACAGCCCTTCTTCCCTGAAAGGCATCACAGCAACTCTTCTACCCAATTCCAGACTCATATAGCCTGAGTCTCAAATTGTGCTACAAAGCTTTACCAGAACTTCATCCCAGAAAGTGATGCGACAATGGACATTACCAAATTTTTGTTCTGCTATTGCAAGATGAGCTCCTGAATTAGGTCTAGTATTACCATGTTTGCCAAAGGATCACAGATGTTAGATAATAACTTAATTTCAGTGGCTCTCTCTAGATGTTACACATATCATGCAATTAACTGGTTAACTGCACAATTACCTTGAGACAAGCTACATGTGCAAAGTACTTATCACACAATAAAAAACTCCAGCCAGCTATGAAGTTAGATCTCAGAAAGGTGCACTAACTTTATAGCTGGTTGCTATCTTATCAAGCTTTAAATCTGCATGTGCAGCAGGATCTCCCAGCCACAGGGGTGAACCTTGCCCAGCCAGTGCTGTGAGTCCTAAAAATACCCGGCTGCAGATGCTGGGTCCTGGCAGTGTCTCCCAGTGATCCCCCCTGCCCTATGGGGTGTGGGGCACCCCCACAGCTGGGAACCCCTCAACTGGGGTGTGTTGGGCTCCCAGCCATGGGATCTTGCTTCTTGCCAGTGCAGGGGTAGCCCAGGTTTGGGCTCCCCCTGCACTGGCAATAAGGTGCGATGGGATCTAATGTGGGATCCTACCTCCTGCCATGCACATGTGAAGAGGGGGCCAATGTATGTTATTTCTTGTTCTTCTTTTCATTTACCCAGAGGATGATATATTATTGGCATAGTGGGAAAGGCACCCTTAGTGTATCACACAAAGGTCTCTGCCTTAAAACGTGTACAGTGCACAGGGCAGAGGTCGGGAACCGTTTTGGGCAAAGTGCCAAAAAACACCCACAACCTCAACTTGCAAGATGTTGGTGTGCCAGGGGCAGAGAGCAGAGGAGCCACAAGGGGCCTGATCCTTTTGTGGCAACACAGCCCCAGTCTCTTCCCTGCCACCCATGCCGAAGTATGCATGCCAAGCAAAATGCCTTTGCATGCCATGCTCTGGCAGCTATGCCAGGGAGTGCCTACCCCCTGGCATAGGGGTTGAAGTACCACAATCTAGTGTGATTTATTACCAGAGAATCACTGTTCTGCAATGGAAATCACCCCAGGTTTATTTAGATTACAAAGCGTTCCAGTCCTTCCCCTTTACTTGCATGAATGGATCCAATGAAGTCAACAAGGCCACTTTGGCAAGTACAGGCTGCAGGAGTGGGCTCAAATATTAACCTCTGAGAGCACTGCCAAGTCTTGTAATTTCACCTCAAGTCTCTTATTTGCTGTCTCTCAGAGCAGGCACTGTCAACCAGGGGTATGCATACCCCTGGGGGTACTTTGAAAGGTCCCATGGGGTATACGTGGGCAGGTGGGGACAAAGCACCACCACCTAACAGGAGGAGGGCTGGGGCGTGGCGAGGCAGCAGCACCCCTCTGCAAGCCAAACAGGTGTTGTCCGACTGGCCAGATGCTGGGGAGAAGCCTGCATGTGCCGGCGGCAGCCGCCATCCACCACCCTGCGCCACTGCTCCGTGTGCATCTGCTGCCATCCCACCCGTGCTCCCTGACTGGCTGTTGCGACCCCCCGCCCACTGCTCCTCAGCTGGCTGCCAGGGGTACGCTGGTCAAAAAAGGTTGAAAACCCCCGTCTTAGAGTCTCTGTTTCTGGAGTCAGGAGATTATGTGAGAATCTCAGTTTTTAATTTAAGAAATGTTAAATGTTAGAAAATATGAAACCCAAAGGTTCAAATCCACAAAGCAAACAAAATTCTAAATGTTTGGTTTTCAGAGCCTTGAGGCTTTGGGGGAGCTTGAATCATGATTTGTGAAGGCCCAGGTAGATGATATTGGAACTAGAACTTCACAACAGAACCACAGCTCTGCTCAGGTGATACTTTTTTGGATATATTAACACCTGGAGTTCAACACAGCACACCTTCTACAAATGTTGAGAACACCCAGCTCTACAATCTGGGAAACACTGAGCTAATACATTTTCAGCTATAAGGACTTGGCTAGCTTTCAACTGTTCCTAAAAGGCTATTAGGCAGCATTAGACATCACTCCTCTACTCACACTGTCCTTTACACCTTTTCCTTAGTACTGATGGAAGACTGGATGATATTAAATTTTTACTAGAAAGAAATTTTTAATATTAAATTTTTACCTGCCAATTTGGACAGTCGGTTCAGTAGCATACACCGTTCCAGTAAAGCCTGTGCACTCTGTGATATAAGGCAGTGCCATCATACAGTGGTAGTTCGAGATCAAGATCACATCTACCGTGGACAGATCCAGCAACTCAGTCTGAAAAAAGGAAAGGACAAGTGACTTGCAGTATTTTCATAGTTTGAGCAGTTGAAGAAAGGATGTTGTCTAAATACCCATACACTTTTTATCATAATACAGTGAACAATTTATCCATGAAGAGGGACATAATATTTGTGGTTATTTATCTTTCTTTCTTCTTCTTTAAAAAAAAAGAAAAGAAAATACCCACTAAGTTACCTTCACCTCTCGTTTGTGCTGGACATTGTCTCTGTCTCTTACAGCCTTCAAATTAGCTTTTTCAGCAAGCCATTAAGCAATTATTGTCACAATAACTGCCCATATAATTTCACTCTAGTTATATAACTAATATATATCCATAAAGACTGGAGAATGTTCCATCCCAGGACCAGAAGGCTGACACCTGTCAGGTACAGGGTACCTCGCATCTTTTTCTGAAGCATATTGTACAGGCCCCTGTTGGAAGCAGGGCTGCAGACAAGATAAATGTTGGCTGAATCCAGAGTGGCAATTCCAACGCTCCTATATTTCCCATATTTAATATTTCACTACTTAACACCTTTATCAGTTACAACATTTTCTATCACAAAACTACAGCATGAGATTATGTCTCTTCATTAGGTACCAAGAAACAGAGGTGGAATACAATTTGTTTTGATGTGACAGTTAAAAATAATGGTTCAAGAGAGGGAAAGGAGAAAATTTCACACATTGTTAAAGGAATTTTAATTAGAACTATTTACGGGTAATGCTATAAGACAAATGGTGTCAAGCCAGAAATTTACAAGATATACAACCTCTAATTGAGTTATTATAGAGCAGCTAATGGAATTCAACAGTCATCAAGCACAGATTATCTGATTACAAGACTCAGTCCTGCAATCTGAATAAAAAGGGCAAAAAAGAAAATAAAAAAAAATAGGTAGCTCATCTCTTCAGAAGCCTAACATGCAAGTGATCTTAGTAATTGATGGCAGTCACTCATCATGGTGTCCTGTGACCAGTGGGGTCCCCCAGGGCTCTGTCCTTGGACCCATATTGATCAACATCTTCATTAACGATGTAGACATTGGAGTCAGAAGCGGACTGGCCAAGTTTGCTGATGACACCAAACTTTGGGGCAAAGCATCCACACCAGAAGACAGGCAGGTGATCCAGGCTGATCTGGACAGGCTCAGCAAATGGGCGGACGAGAACCTGATGGTGTTTAACACCGAAAAATGCAAGGTTCTCCACCCTGGGAGG